GCAATTGTGGTTTTTATGTGCGCTGAGAAAAAGAGGAGAATATGGACGTGGTCATGGCTGGGAAAAAAGGACAACTTGGGATGCCTATTTTGCAAATGGAGCTTGAGGGAAGTCGTATTAAGTTTTAGCGCCATGTCACATTGATCAATACGCCATTTCATGTTGCACTTTTATTGGCTAGTCAGTAGACGTACAGTAGGTCGTTGCAGCAAACACACTGAGACAATCAGTAATCAACATTGACAATAACCTTCAAAGTTGTGGTAAAAAAAAGGATTTTCAACCACAGTATTTAAAAGAATACAGGTTCCAGACTTACACAAGCATAAATATAAATATGCCAATGGACTTCCTGTGGTCAATAAACAAAATAGACACCAGATCCTCATTTGTAGCGCATTTGGTTCAATTTGTAGCCAAAACCCTTTTTCGGACAGTGGCCATATTGAATTTAGGGAATTCGGGGGTCCTGATATACCCAATCATAAATGTAAGTATTCCTATGGGTTTCCAATGGTCAAAAAAGGTAAAATAGACATCAAGTTTGTATTTGTATCTCATCTGGCTCAAAAGCTATAGGATCTATTAACTCAAAAATTAAAAGTGTAATTGATGATATTGCTCCTGTGAAAGTCAGGAAAAATAGTGGTAGACAAAAAGCACCTTGGAGAAACTCAACAGCTGTGCAAAACATGAAAAGACAATGCAGAAGAGCAGAGCGCATGTGGCGGAAGACAAAACTTGTAGTCCATTATAACATCTACAAAGACAGCATCCATGCTTTTAATATGGAACTAGGCAAAGCTAGACAGACTTACTTCTCGAATATTATAAACAGCAACTTAAACAACACACGCACTCTTTTTGCTACTGTAGAGAGACTGACAAACCCCCCACGCCAGATTCCCAGTGAAATGCTCTCAGACAGCAAGTCCAGTGAGTTTGCTTCTTTCTTCTCTGAGAAAAACAATAATATCAGAAAGGTGATCAGCTCATCCTTGAGGTGCGCTGGGGTCAGACAGATCAGACCACAACCTGAGAAAGTAGTTACTATGTCTGTTTTCGAAGAAATTGATGGCAAAATTTTGGAAGAAACCATACAGCACCTTAAAACATCAACCTGCGCCCTTGACGCACTTCCCACATCTTTTTTCAAAAGTGTGTTAAACAGCTTAGAAGCAGATCTCCTAGAAGTGGTAAATGCCTCACTTCTCTCTGGTAGTTTTCCAAACTCCCTGAAAACTGCAGTTGTCAAGCCCCTCCTGAAAAAGAGCAATCTGGATAAGACCATATTAAGCAACTATAGACCGATCTCAAATCTTCCTTTCATAGGCAAGATCATTGAAAAAGTTGTCTTCAATCAGCTGAACAAATTCTTAAGCTTGAATGGATACTTTGACAATTTTCAATCTGGTTTCCGATCGCATCACAGCACAGAGACAGCTCTCATAAAGATGATAAACGATATTCGCTTAAATACTGATACAGGGAAATTATCAGTGCTGGTACTACTCGACCTCAGTGCTGCATTTGACACTGTTGATCACGACATACTACTTGACAGGCTGGAAAACTGGGTGGGGCTTTCTGGGATAGTCCTAAAATGGTTCAGGTCATACTTAGAAGGGAGAGGTTATTATGTGAGTATAGGAGACTATAAGTCTGAGTGGACATCCATTACATGCGGAGTCCCCCAAGGCTCAATTCTTGCACCACTCCTATTCAACCTGTATATGCTCCCAATGAGCCAAATAATGAGAAAGAACCGAATCTCTTACCACAGCTATGCAGACGACACACAGCTCTACTTAGCCCTATCGCCTAACGACTACAGCCCCATTGACTCCCTGTGCCAATGCATTGATGAAGTAAACGGTTGGATGTGCCAAAACTTTCTTCAGTTAAACAAAGACAAAACTGAAGTCATTGCGTTTGGAAACAAAGATGAAGTTCTCAAGGTGAATGCATACCTTGACGCTAGGGGTCTAACAACTAAAAATCAAGTCAGGAATCTTGGTGTGTCTCTAGAGTCAGACCTTAGTTTCAGTAGTCATGTCAAAGCAAATACTAAATCAGCATACTATCATCTGAAAAAATATTGCAAGAATTAGATGCTTTGTTTCCAGTCAAGACTTAGAGAAACTTGTGCATGCTTTCATCACCAGCAGGGTGGATTATTGTAATGGACTCCTCACTGGCCTTCCTAAAAAGACCATAAGACAGTGGCAGCTCATACAGAACGCTGCTGCCAGGATCCTGAGCAGGACCAGAAAATATGAACATATCACACCAGTCCTCAGGTCTCTACACTGGCTCCCAGTTACATTTAGGATTGATTTTAAAGTATTATTACTGGTATATAAATCATTCAATGGCCTAGGACCTCAATATATTGCAGATATGCTCACTGAATATAAACCAAACAGATCACTCAGATCATTAGGATCACATCAGCTAGAAATACCAATGGTTCACTCGAAGCATGGAGAGTCTGCTTTTAGCTATTATGCCAGCCGCAGCTGGAACCAGCTTCCAGAAGAGATCAGATGTGCTTCTACAGTAGTCACTTTCAAATCCAGACTCAAAACACTTCTGTTTAGCTATGCATTTAATGAATGAGCACTGTGCCACTGTTCGTCCGACTGTTTTATTTACTGTACTTTATTTTATTCTTTATTCTAAACTGTTTTAATTATTCTTATTTGTTTTGATTATTTTATTTTCTCCTATGTAAAACACATTGAATTACCATTGTGTATGAAATGTGCTATATAAATAAACTTGCCTTGCCTTGCCTATAGCCGAATCCCTTTCAGGCGGTGGCCATATTGGATTTGGCCGCCATCTTGGTCTCAAGGACCATTGGCTCAGGCGCCCTGTTTAAATCATTTCAGTATGCCCTCAGCTACATCTGTGCCAAATTTGGTGCTTGTAGATGAATTTGCGTGAACAGTGGGGTGTAAGGCCCCATACTACAGCCCAAACTGCTTTTTTGGACAGCGGCCATATTGGAATTGGAGGATCAAGGGGTCCAGATATACTGGGTCATAAATATAAAGATTCCTATGTGTTTCCCATTATCAATGAAGCTGAAAAAGATATCAAGTTTGTATTTGTAACTCATGTGGTTCAAAAGTTATAGCCGGAACCCTTTTCTGGCAGCGGCCATATTGGATTTGGACATCTTGGCCCCGAGGGTCGCTGGCTCCGGCGCCCTAGCTAAATCATTTCAGTATGACCTAAGCTACTACATCTGTGCCAAATTTGGCGCTTTTAGATTAATTTGCGCAAAAATGTGCTTAAGGCCCCCAACTACAGGCTACATTTCAGACACTTGTCAGAAAATGGCTATCTTTGGTCGCAAGAGACCGTCTTTGAACCTCTCTAACTATATGATATAGGACCACCGTTTAGGAGCCACAACCACAGAAATCGCCACGATTGGTCATCTTTCATCTAGGCTGCGTTTACACTTGGCATTAACATGCGATCACCGTGATCCGGATCATAAGCCAATCAGGACACGGTGTGTTTACACCTGTCCACATCGAGTGGCTTCTGTATCTGGATAACAGATCGGATCTCGCATTGCTCCAGTGCAAAGTCGACCTGAAGTAATGGGTTTTCTTTTAAAAACAGTTTTCAGTCGGGGGACATTTTACAAATCTCTTAATGAGGAGGATGAAGAGGCTGCAAGTACTAATAATGTGGATAGATGCCGTAATGGATACGGGACAGAGAAACGTATGGGGATAATGCGCGTTCTTTACAGAAAATGAATGGTTCTGCAACTTTAGGGTGCGAAAGCAAACATTTCAGTATATTAGCGATGTACTCAGTGTAATGTAAACGCAATCCAGCCATCGTGCAGCAATTCCTGGATTGGTGCACGATGGCTGGATTGCGTTATTACACTGAGATCCGGACAACATTCCGTTCAATGCGGTTCAATGTGTATGTGGACAACATCCGGATACAGGCCGCATGTTAAAGGTTTAACGTTAGTTCACCTCAAAATGAAAATTTCCTAATAATTTACTCACCCCAATGCCATCCAAGATATCCATGTCTTTCTTTCCTCAGTGGAAGAGAAAATAAGTTTTTTGAGGAAAACATTTCTGGATATTTCTTCGAATAATGGACTTCAATGGCAGCCAACGTTTTGAAGTGAAGTCCAAATCAATGCGGTTTCAAATGTCTTTGAAGAGCTTCAACCGGCTGTGCACGATCAGCTGAGGAAGAGGGGCTTATCTAGCGAAACGATAGGTCATTTTCAAAACAAAACAAAAATTATATACTTAATGCCAAGTGTAAACGCAGCCTAAGACAGCCCTATCTCTATGGCAAGCCATTTTGACTTTTGTTCATTCCCAGGATATGAGTTCTTCAATGTTCACTAGTTAAAATACTAATCCTTAATTAGAGGTATTAGATTTCTACTAGTAACAATGACAATTTTTTATATCAGGAATTACATTTCCACTTGTAAAAATGTGAATTCTTGATATGAACAATGACTCGCAGAAATACAAATTCTTAATAACAAGATTTCAATTTCAACAAGTAAAAACTCTTGATACCTGTAATTGTATTTTCACTAGTTAGATGTCACCATAGGCTCAGTATTTACTTCTATAATTATTGTAAATTCTAAATAACCCTAAAAATCTGGATATTAAAGACCTGAACAACTTCAAACACTGTAAACTTTTCAAAATAAAAGTCAAAATAAAAAGTGCAGTAAAAAGCGTTTTTTTTTTTTTGTAATTTGTATGGAATTTTTGACTTTTACATTGCCAAAGTACAAATACCCAAAAGTGATATGTATGCGTGTAAAAGTATTTTACACCACTAAAAAAAATAACCCATGCAAAGTCAAATTTAAATAATTTAATATTCAAGAGTGAATTTTACTGTTGCCTCTGGCTAAATATGCAGTTATTAGCATGTAGCTTCAAAGCTGAACCCAGGACCGAACATAGTAATATGCACACACAAAATGATTTTACTAAAAAAAAATTACTTTTATTCAAAACACATCCACTGGTAAGTACAAAAACAAAGACAATCGTTTTCATGTAATTCAGTTTAGTGAGAGACCGTCTGAACAGTGTTGGGGTCCAATCAACTGGTTTTGTTTTAGCGAAACAACTGGGGAAAACTCTTTGGTACGGTTGGTGAGGGTGACCAAAAAGAACGTAAATGGTAAAATCACAACCCAGACATGATTGGCAATCAATACAATAGGAATTTACAATGGGCACTCACAGAAAGAGACGCTAACCGGGCAAGATGACGCTACTCTGAAGATGGATTCAACAGGAAGGCCCTGAGAAATCAAACCTCTTCCTCTCGGTAGCTAAAAACAGACGTTTAGAGTCGGTGCTCGCGGCTGCCGCCGTCTTATGGAGGCGTCTGGGACGTGAGAAATCAAACGGCTCAATATTTATTAACTCCAAAGGTTGGAACTGGTCGAGTTTCCCAAGTTGTTTTTAAACCTAGATGAGCTGTCCAGCCCAAACGGGAAGTAAAAAGCAAAGTTCAATGCTTGTTCATTTCCCAAGTCCAATCTTCTTGGCTTCAGTTTCATAAATCAATAGCCTCCACATTTTAACTATGAAGACCTCAGCCTCTTCATCCAGCACCTGAGGAGACGAGGGGAAGTAGTTAGATCATGTGATCACAATTGGAGCCAGTCTTTGAAATGGTGTGTAAAGCTTAAACGTACCATCGCGACGTCGTCTAAGATCCCTTGTGGTGTACTGTGGGCCATTACCTGAGAAGAAACAGCAGCAGTCGTGCTTAAAGAATAATTCATCTTTAAGTCGCTTTGGATAAAAGAGTCTGCTAAATGATTTGGTGCGCTTAACTCTATACCTGCCATTTAAATCTGCATATTTGTGATATTTATCCCAAAGGGCATTTTTTTTTCTTTATTAATTTTATCCTTATTAAATGCAAGCCTCATCTCTCATTTCAAATTATTAAATTTGATCAATAAATTCTATTAGATTAATAAGACACTATCGGGCTGTTACCAATCAAATTAAATCATTAACATTGGAAAAATTACAATTGCATTAAATAATGTTATGAGATAGTTTTAAATATTTTTTTGAATATACAAATAAGAAATGTTGGGGAAAAAAAATGATACTTTTAAACATGAAACTAAACCACCAGTAAGGTGGCGGCAGGTGACCGTCTTATGCCTGGTTCAGGACCGAAAACACGCACTCACACACACACACTCTCGCTCACTCACACAAATGCACTCACGCTCAATCACTCACTTACACACAAACACTCACTCGCGCACACACACTCTCACTCACTCACTCACTCACTCGCATACAAACACTCACTCACTCCCACACAAACACTCTCTCTCACTCGCACACAAACTCACTCACTCGCTCTTGATGGAACAAGTCGTGGAGGACCAAAAAAAATAAAAAATTAACCATGCTAGTCTTTTCATCGTGAAGCATCGCAGACGCGACGTCGGTTGTCGTCCGCTATGACACACTATACGAGATGAAACGATCGAATCTTGCGTCCCGACGCCCGTCGTTTACGAAACCCCACGACACCCTACGTCAAACTGATCGTGCCAAAATCAGGCTAAAGTCGTGTAATCTGAACCGTGTAAGTCGTGTAAATCTAATGAGTGAGTCATTCATTCAAACGTTTTGTTGAAACAGATGATTTGTCCAAGAATGAGGCAGTTGTTTATGAACGTGTCATTGAAAATTTGACTCAACTGTTTTGTTCAAAACGGCAAATAATTTTGCTGTGAAATGCGTTATGGTTCTGCTGTTATCTTTGTTTGGAACTAATTTCGCTGCTGAAATAGAACAAAAACAGTCAATATTGTGTCTAAAACGTAAGTGACTTAATTAACTACTTGTTTATTGAAGGGAAACGGCGTCGGCCAATAGTGAGCCTACGTGTGACGTACAACCCAGAAGCGCTGCGCTGTTACACTACGTGAACTTACTCGAGGACCACAGAGAAGGAAATGAATAGTTGAATAAAGCCGTTATTTTTGTTTGTTTTTTGCGCACAAAAAGTATTTTCGTCGCTTGATAAACTTAAGGTTGAGCCACTGTAGTCACTCGGACTATTTTAACGATGTATTTAATAACTTTTCTGGGCCGGCAAGTTTCAATCCCTTAGAAGCCTATGGAGGAGTGATCCAGCTCTCAGATTTAATAATAAATACCTTAATTTGTGTTCCGAAGATGAACGAGAGTCATTACTGACAGAGTTTTCATTTTTGGGTGAACTATCCCTTTAACTACTTGTTTATTGAAGGGAAACGGCACTCTTGATCATGTGATGTTGCTCAACAGTATCATTTTATTCTCCGCAGTGTGTTAATGGAGTTTAACAGACTCTAATGAAGAAAACGGTCTTACCTTGGAGCAAACAAAGTCAACTAATGTGGCTTCTTCTTCACCAATGTACTCTACGATCTTCTTATTGATCCATGGTCGAATACGCTTCTCCATAAGTGTCTGTGAATGGCGGGAATATTAAAAAACACAAGTTAGACGATATTAAAACACAGCTTGGGAAATAAGCAGGCAACACGTCCATAAAACGACAAGCATCGCTCTTACCGTGTCGACGACGGACCAGTCGAGCGGGTAGTTGAAGAGCTCTGGTTTGGCAGTGGGAATCTTCTCGATCAGACTCTTGATGTGTTTACGCTTCTCCTCCGTATTGACTCCTTTGCCTCCGTCGATCGCTCCCACATCGACTCCCTTCTCCTCATCCTCGTAGTCTAAAGGCACCAGCTTCCTTTTCCGAGGCGCCTCGTCCACCTCGTCGTCGTCGAAGCGGTTGAAGACGCTTTCCACCGGCAGCTTCTTCCGTTTGGCTACGCTGGGCTGTCCTGGGCTACCGGATGAACCTTGCCATGGGATAAAAACTAATTTTATACAATACGGATTGCTTTCAAAGCAGCTTCACAGTAATAAACAAGAAAATGATAGTATTAATCTGGCAAAGTTGGTCAATTATGAAATATTTTCAGCGGTAAAGCAGCATTAAAAAGACAATCTTGTCAGATACACTCAATGGAGAAGATGACATACTTTCTACTAGTGCTGCCAAACGATTAAAATATTTAATCGCGATTAATCGCATTAATCTCATAGTTAACTCACGATTAAATCGCAATTAAATGGCACATTTTTATCTATTCTAAATGTCTCTTGATTTATTTTTGTCCCATTATTTTTTCTCATTTTAATGCTCTTATCAACAGGGAAAAGTGGATCGGCTTGCTTTGTGCAAATGTTTTTTTATTGAAAACAACATTGGCATACTGTGTTCAATTTCACACTAACATTCTCACTTGGAGCAAATAATCTCTCACATAATGTAACACTGTCCATCAATAAAAGGGTGAAATAAATACCGATGAGGTCCTGATATTGACGAGGGGGCGGAGAATTCGCATCAGTTGTGTGTGTGTGTGTGTGTGTGTGTGTGTGTGTGTGCTTGGCCATCATCAAGTGGTATTTCAGACTGGACGTGCTGCGATGATGATAGCTCAGTTCACAACGACAAAACACACAGATCACTTTGGTCTTTTCAATGGAACCATTTGGCAACTTTTTAAAAGTAAACTTTCCATTCAGAATCTTATTGGCATCCATTTCGGCGTCTCGCAATCGTCACCCACTCAAAACGTAACGTTAACCAACTATTTGTCCGGCTCGCAAGCCCAAACAAGTGTGTGCACGCCTGTTGTTTTGTTTCCGGTCTAGCTAGATCCGCTTGTGCTTTGGTTGAAAAAAGCAACAAAACGTCCTCGCGCGGCGAAAAAGACTGTTAATCGCGTGATAAAAAAATGGACGCCGTTAAAATGGGTTTGCGTTAACGCCGTTAATAACGCATTTAACTGACAGCCCTACTTTCTACATATCAAAGGACACATATATAATAAGCGCTGGACAAAATGGTTTGCATATAAAGAAGCGGAACAATTTTAATACTTTAGTATTTAATAGGGCTGTAACGATACGCAATATAAAATCGAAATCGCGATACTCAGGTCCACGATCCTGTATCGCGATGTGAGAAGGCAGAATCGCGATCACACCCCTTCCAACTTCCTGTCCAGAACCAGGGCTCGAATTTCGGCGCGGGATTGCGGGTATTGCGCATAATTCTAATCATTCCCGCAGGTCTCCCATTTATAATGCGGGAAATTCCCGCAATTGTAATCCACACAGATAATAAAATCAAATCATTCTTTTAACAACTATCTTCCAGACGCAATTTCACAAACAGCGTGAGTGTTCAGCGGTGCCGCGCGCGTCTTCTATCTCTTCTCATAATGTGTTGTGCAAGGCAGGCATCAAGAGCTGCGGCGATAATACACACTCGTGTTCAGGAGTCGGGACCATAGACTGTAAGGTCGGGACATGACGGAATATTCACTTGCACAATCGGGCCAGCAATGCATCGTGACTGAAGTCTATTTAAGTCTTACCAGTTTAAACATTCAAGCGATTTTAAACTAATCAGTGCTCGCGCGCTCTCTGAGATTATTTTCTATGCGCTCATTTATAGAAAATCCGCCTCAAAAACAGCTGGCTAGTAACTATTTTTCGCGGATTATATTGCTTTAACACGCAAAATTGTCAATTTCGGTCTTTGTGAGTAGGCTATACTCTAAATATAGTTGGTTTTGTCTTTAATAAGCATAAAACGATGCCAGTATAATGAACACAGGATCCGTGCACTAGCTCTTAAAGTGACGGCAGCCATATGTGTCTGTCATTAATTTTGTTGTCAAACAACAAAAGATAGCTTTAAGTTAAAGGAATCAGGATTAATAGCCTATGTATTTAATTTATTCAGGACTAAAATACTACCCAGTGTTATTTTCCATTTGATTACTTTATTCAGTTTCTGTATATGAATACTAGTGTTAGACCTATTCAAAACTTTTCTCTTTAATTGTCTTTATTTGTATCTTTATTCTATTGTATTTATTTGTGCTACTTTTTTTCAATTTAATTAAACAATTTAAATCAAGCTTCCTTGTGATGTGTAAATTCTTAACAACAATATTACCCCATTGTAAAAATGCAATGAGCGCAAACATTTAGGCAAGATAAATGTAATAATTTTGTTTGGAAAAAATGCCCCCCCTTTCTCCCCCTCAAACAAAAAAAATCCCCCCCATGAGAATCATCTAAAGGGGAGATCGTTTTTGGCAAATGGGGATCCCCCCATTTTCCAAAACGAAATTCAGGCCCTGAGAACTACCACATCTTTAAATTACTATTAGTATTATTTGAAGTTAACATTATAAAATACGTAGACCTACACCACAAAACTAGTTGAGGATAAATTATTTAAAATTTGGCAATTTCAGCATTATGGACGTGAAATTTGCAGCCAAAACTTGAAATATAAATTCTCAGAAAGTGCATTAAATGAATCCTCAATTGACCGGCAACACGTCCAACATGCAGATGCATATCCTACGGCACCATCCCGAAATCAATTTAGTTGGAGTACAGAACACAGCCCAAAAGCAGCAGCCTACACTGCCTAGTATAGTTTAATAATTTGGATACTTATTATTGTTCTTTGGTGTTTAGATTATACAGGTTTTTCCTGATGTTATTTAATAAAAATACCGGTATTTTTTTTCTTCTCTCAAAATCTATTTTTTTCACCACAAGCCCCGCCCCCGTGATAGAATCGCGATACGAATCGAATCGTGGGTCAAAAATCGTGATACGAATCGAATCGTGGGTTTGGTGTATCGTTACAGCCCTAGTATTTAATACAGTATATAGTGCCCATTGTTCTATGTCTTTGTATGTTGAGTTGTAAATAAGAAAAATGCCAAATAAAGAGTTTAAAAAAATAAAAAAAGACAATCTTGTCACTATTCAGCTCATGTCAGCTTGGTGTGGATTCAGTTTAGATCAATAACAGTGTGAAAGTTTGCAATGTTGCATTGTTCATTAGTTATAAACAACCCTCTATTCACACCTTGGCAATAAATCGCCATTGGCTAGTAAATTTTTTTGCTTACTCGCCAGAATGACATACTATTATTTATATATCTTTATACCATGGTCTGGGTGAATACTCGATTCTGATTGGCTGCAGGGTGTCCATTAAAAAGTGACAGAGGACACCTAGTAAAGGAGTTCTGGTGAAACTGACTGTTTACAGTTCGAAATTAATAAATAAATGCGCTGCCTACATCAGCTGTGAGTAACCATAGCAACAGGCAGTCAAAGTATACGTTTACAATTTATTGCATCAAAACAAACATCTAGTTAGCCGTATACTATGCCTACCTGTGCGTTTTAATTATAGGTTTAAAGAAACGAAAGTGTAACGTCCATGGCTAGACAAGCCTAACTTACATGAAAAAAAAACACGTTAACTTTCTGGCTCGTAAGTTAACTAAACTGAAGGGCTCTCCGAGCTGAGCGGACTATAAATATCTCCGGTTGCTCAATAAACCGTCAGGCGTAACCAGGGAAACAGTGTTAATTTCGTTGACGAAAATAACGACGAAAATTATTCGTCAACGACATTTTTTCACAGACGAAAACGAGACGATAACTAAATAAAACCTAGTTTTGAATGACAAAGACTATGACGAAAATCTATTGACATTTTCGTCAAGGAATAAAAACTAGACGAAAATGTTAGATAGTGACGATTTGGGAAGCGATCCGTCAGAACTGATGTCCTGCGTGTGTGGAAGATGCGCACATTTGTAGGCTACTGTAACGTGATCTACCCCGCGGTCATAAAACGTTAAAAAATGTGAACGTCTGGGAGAATGAGTAGAGCAGACATATAGATCTCTGAATAAGAGTGACGATGCAAAAAAGAGCTCTATTCGGTGCGGTTTTCTGTGCGCACACACCTAACCCGAAGCGTGCAGTCATGCACAATACACCTACAGCGCGCGAGTAGGCTACTGAATTGAGCTCTCTTTCGTGTCTGAATGGAGAAATACACAACAGTATGTCTAAATGTCCTTTTTGGAGAGTATTCATGTAAACTATGCTGGTTATGTCTTAAACTGTGAGTGTGTCAGATGTGCATCAGTGCAATTGTATCCGCATGTCATTGGACATGATCCGACGTCTTAAAGTGACAGTGGCAATAAACCTAATGCGGTCCGTGTCCTTAATTTTGATCAAGCAACAAAAGAAAAAGAGAAAAGCATTCACTGTTTGTTAATAGCTTTAATAAGGATTAATTATATTTAATTCATACAAATAAATATGTCTGCTTGAAAGAATAAAGAATGATGTGTAAGTAGTTATAAGGAATGAATATATCATTCATTGTAAAGAAGACTGTGTTGTACTTTAGGAAAAGTGGTTTTATTTCATTTTAAGATATGTTTTAAGTAACAGCAGTTAAATCTGTATCTGTATTGCATGTTCAAACTTAAAAATCATTCATATTAACAGGTTAATAGATGTTTTCTCCGGGAGTATATGGGTTTGGAAATTTTAGAGAAATTCTAAATTAACGCATTACAATTGAACTAAACCCATTATATTTTAGTCGACTAAATCTACTGTAGATTTAGTCGACTAAAATGTTATTGTATTTCGTCGACTAAAACTAAAACAATTCAGATGACTAAAATATGACTAAAACTAAATGGCATTTTAGTCAAAAGACTAAGACTAAAACTAAATCAAAATTTGCTGACAAAATTAACACTGCAGGGAAACCAAGTTATTGTTTGTAAAAACTTAGATTTCCATTGTAAAACTAATTAAAATATAAACAAATTTTTTAAAAATGTGTTATTTGGCAAGTGACCATGGTATAAGCAGGTTAATGCCCTTCGAGGTGTCCGTTGTCAGGTATTAATGGACTTCGGTGAGGCAACCGTTCACGCGCGTCGTCCATTAATACCTGACAATGGACACCTCGTCGGGCATTAACCCTTACATATATACACATTCCACCAATTCAGCTTATCTTTGTAAAATGGCACATATTTGAAATATCTAAATGTACACTCTTAAAATCAGTCAATCGAGGATTATATTATGATAATCACGCATTATTTAATGATAGAACTTTAGTAATTAGAACTAAAACTTGATAATTATGCATGAATGCATATTTGTCATTTTAACTGAACTTAGGACTGGTGGCGGTGCTTAAGATATCGTTGGTCTTTTAGTGTTTTAGGTCATTTAGTCTTTTTTAGCTAAAAGATAATAATCCTACTACCAATATTGACAATATACAACACATTAGCTGCTAGGTCCATGAATGTTAATTACGTTGTCAGCGTTCGCTCTGATTTGCTGAAATTAAAACAGGGATGAGTGCCATCCAATGAGATTGCCGTGTGCGCATTAGTCCCGCCCACTACCCGAGAAACCAGCATGTCTTCTGCTTGTTCTTAAAAGCTGAATAAATCCAGATGAACTCAATTATTTTGACAGAAAAATACAAACAAGAATATCGTTTACATGTAGCATGCGTGGTATGTAAGACTCTCACACTCACTTGCGTGTGTGTGAGAAACACGACGGCGAGTTGTGCGCCTTCACACTAGAGTTAACGGTACGTCTAAAACAGTACGTCTAATACATTTGAGCTGAATTTGAAATACTAGTACAGATCCCTTGACGGAGAGTGAAACTCTCGAGCGCTCAGTCAGTGTTCAGCGAGTGAAAATATATCTATGCTAAACTTATAATTGGCATCTAACACACACAGGCGAGTAAAATCTAAAAAATATATTAGCCAATGGCTAATAATAGACATTCTTTAGTCGCCCAGAGTGAAATTTACTCGCATTGTAGAGGGTTGTATAAAGCAAACTCACATTCAACTTAAGCACTACGGAAGAAAATTGTGCCATTATTCAGCTCAATTAAGTTTAAATAACTGTTTTGAGGTTGCGGAAATGTATCCATTATGAAACGTCAATTCAGATATAAAGCAGCATAATATAAAATTAATATGTTAATATGAAAGAAATATATAATAAATTAAATAATTCAATCAAATACTATATTTGAATATATTTAATCAACTTATTTTTTATTAATTAAACAAAAACTACTTATAGTATTTAAATGAATTATTTCATTCTTAATTTAAGTAGATTTTGTTTAATTAATGAAAAATAAGTTGATTAAATATATTCAATTATAGTATTTAAATGAATTATTTAATTCTTAATTTATTTGAATATATTTATCAATATACATTTCATTAAAAAATAAAGAAAATAATGAAAAATTCAAATAGTATTCAAATAGTAACAAAATGTATTTTTGTTATTTAGTACAATTATTATTATTATGATAAATGCTCTTATTATCTGTTTAATAACAGTGTTGATGTAACAAAATTGATTAATTATGAAACCAAGTCAATTCAGATATAAAGCAGCTCTACAGACGTCAATAGTGTGATTGTTCCGCTCGGTTTAGTTCAAGTTTTGTTGTTCTCCAATAGTGTCAGTGCAGGATATTAAGTGAAAACTGAGCTGATAATCACTAAGAACTACAGTAGTCAACATTTGAAGTGGATCAAAAAAGTTGTCCTAAGACAAGAACGGGTTGTTCAATTTTCATGTATAACTTTGATGAAAGGTTTTGATCCACTTCAAATGTTGACTACTGTAGTTTTTATTTGTTATTGGCCATGATGACATCCTGATCCGAAACCTTTCTGAAGTCAAACTCACCTAGTTTGAGGCTGAGGCCGATCTTGGGGCGGTTCTCGTCCTGGAGCAGGACCTCTGGTGGCGAGTTCTCGTGAGGGATGATTATGCCACAGGGCGACTCTTCTCTGGGCGTGTTCGGAGTGGCGTTTCCGCTGGCTGAAGACACTGAGGGGGCGGACATGATGGGTCGCATGGTGGGTTTGAGGCAGGGTTTAGACTCCTCTTCATCCTCTAGCTCCTCCCCTTCCTCAACATCATCGTCAGAGGGAACGTGAGTGTGAACGTGAGTTTCTACGACTGCCTTACGCCGATCTCTGTCTCGTTCTCGGTCTCGTTCCCTGCCTCGGTCTCGCTCTTCTCGAGAGGGTTTGTGTTCTCTCTCCTCCTCAGGCTCAGGCTTCACGGGCGGCTGCCGTAAACGCTCTGCCTCTTCCTCCATCTGATCAACACACACACACACACACACACACACACACACACACACACACACACACACACACACACACACACACACACACACACACACACACACACACACACACACACACACAACAAAAAATCAGTAAGATATGACAAAAAAAAGAGCACAACAGTGACCAGTTTGGTTCCAGAAGTACGAAGAAGGTTCGAAGCCACGAAACACACCAGCCAGCAATAAATCACAATAAACACTTTGATTTGCAAAAAAAGAAAGTATTTGAAAGTCTAAAAAAGACATGAAACACTGGGAATTACATGATAAAAGACAGCATAATGTACAATTACTGACTCTATGGATAAAATATATAACAATTATAAAAACAATATTTTAAAATATTTATCAATTTATTTTTCCATAAAAAAATAAATAAAATAATTTTAAAATAATTATATTTAAAGGATTATTTTTTTTATTAAAGGCCCACTGAAGTGCCTGATACACAGTATAGAGGGTATGAGCATGACGTCACCGTCGGCCGGAGTGAATGCGGTCACGCCCACAAGTGGCAAAAAGACTGAGCGGCAGCATTTGTTTTCAGCGTGAATGCCGTGAAAATCACACAAAACACATCTAAAACGGGAAAGAGCTTTGCGATTGACTGTACAACTAGATTTGACCAGAAATCTGAGGTACTGTATATTTTTACAGACTGCAAAAAGCTACAGAACAGACTATATTCTGCATAATTGGATGTTTTTAAATAAACACTGACAAAAAACTATACAAGTTTTAGGGCTGGACGATATGATGATATACAGTATAACATTAATGTAAGTGATCACTCGGATTTAGACCTATCTATATTGTATTTATATAAAACGTTTACAGGCAAATTGTCTTCATTTATTTCCCCGGCGTCGAAATCAGGCACATATAAATGTCAGGAAACACGATTCCTGGCTGCATGTCAATATCCATGGATCACTGGATCTTAGATAAGTTGTAAGGAACACTATATCGAGTCCAACTTTTAGTTTAAACTGATAATAGTTTGTTTTACTCGCGTTAACGCAGTTTCCCCTATTAACTCCAGTCACGCAGCAGCTCTTCTGCCACTCAGTCCCGCTGAGGGGGGCGTGTTCCGGCGGGGAAGTGACGTTAATGCATTCCCTCTATTATTCAATGTGTTGACGTAATTTCCACTGAAACAGGAAGACAGGGCGGGACATATAAAGTAGCTCCTCCCCTTTTTAAAATAGCCAATAGCTTTTAGTTTATATCACAGCTCAGTCAGAGCCATTGAGCTCGGTAAAGCTGTGTTTGACAGATTATGACAGTCTAAAAGATTCTCCTTTTAGATTTAATATGAAAGGAAATCCGAGAACGTGATCATGCTGAGGATGTGTAGATTGAAGAGTGTGTACGTTATGTTGGTTCATGACACTGGTGTTTTCTCTTCTACTCATCAGTGCTGTTTCTAATGCAGAGTCTGTCGAACCCTTTCTCCTCATAATCTCCTCCAGATCGCTTTAAAATACAGCAATCTGTGCAGAATTCAAACGTGTCCGATACGTTTTCTGGTCAGCAGCGATTCTCGTGATACTCGCGTGAAACCAGACTTCATTCACATGAGCATTTGATTGGACAGAAAATCTGATGAGAAGCTGAAGTGCAGTGATGTCATCAAAATCATTGATCTTTATTGGCGTAAGTGAGAGACTAAGTTTTTAACGCTTATATCTTCTAAATGCGAATTCTGTCATTGTTCTGGAGCACACTAGCTTATAGAGAACAGTCTAACATATTCATACTAAAAGCAAAAAAACAAAACTTCAATTTTGATTTTATGAGGACTTTTAAATGGTTATTATATTTTCAACATATTAAATTATTATGCAAATAAAAGTAAAAATAAATATATAGTATTTCAATTTTCCAATTTAATTTTTCATAAATTATATTAAATAATTCCTTTAAATACGATATTTGAATATATTTTTGTATATTATTTCACTTGATTAAAATGTATTTAAATAAATAAATAAATGACTATAAATATATTTGAAGTATATTTGCAAAACAAGTAAGAGAGTGACTCTGCGCAGTCGTGGACTCACTCTGCGCAGCTCAGCGTCTGGATCTGGGTGTCCTTCTGCTAGCAGCCTCTGTCTGATCTCCTCCAGCTCTTCCTTCTCTCGTTTCCGGTCACGTTCATCCAGCTCTACCTCCTTCTCTCTGTCCCGCAGTCGCTTCTGAAGAGCGCTGCCCCTGCAGGCGAAGCAGAGGAACAGAAACCGTTTAGGTCAGATACAGATGGTCTGTTGCATACTGTACTCAAAAACGTCATGAGATAAATCTGAAATTACATTTCTGAGAATCAGATTGTAAAAAAAAAAGGTAGTGTTTGCAAGTTCCCAGGCTGCCACAATGAGATACTATTATTGTTTTGAGGCCCAACCATCAGTTACATGAACTTTCTTTTATTCCATGTGCTCTTAAATTGTTTTATAAATAACTTACAGGTTTGATTGTATGAAGCCTGATGTATTTCAGGTTTTTCTGTGAATCGGTTTTACTTTTTGTTGTTGTTGTTGTTTTTAAACTCGTTTTAAATAAGGTACAAAAGGTTGTCTTGAGTATGTGTTATGTTTGATACATTTCAAGGTTTTGTTCTACAATATCCTGCCTTGTCAAACTCTAAACTTGTCAATTTACTTTCGTGCCTGAAGCAATACGGCTATGTAATAAACTTTTTTTAATGTATTTGAATGTATGTGCTAAGTGTTTTATGTGAGGCACCATGTAAGCTCAAACTAATTGCCCCACGGGGATAAATAAAGCTCTAAACTAAAAAACTAAATAAAACTAACTAACTACCAAGGTAATAATGTAATTTCAGATCTATCTGCCTCTAAATGTTTTGTAAAAAGATAAATTATACACACAGTGGCACACAGAACTCACTTGTAGTATTTTGGGTCGTCTCTGTCATCATCATAGTCTTCGAGAAACTCCTTCAGCCGTTTCCCTTCTTTAGCCTGAGAGGATGATATGATGAAAGAAACATTCAGAAATTGAAACATTCTCTATAATATACATGTGTTTTAGATCAGGCTAAATTGCTAATTTAAATACAATAGGGCTGTGTCAGACTAAAGATTTGTATAGTCAACCAGTAGTTTTTCATTTTGTCTCATTATTAGTCAATTGGTTGCACGTTTATGAAATTAATTGGTAATACATATACTGGGGGAGTAGCGTCGGAAAATAGTTTGAGTATCAGGGCTGAGAAAGAATATTATATTTATCATTGCTAACAATTACAAAGGAATACTAAACCATAATAATGAGCCTATTTGGCTCTTTAAGTGCACGCATAAAGCTTTTTACAAGGCGCGCGCAAAAGTAATGATTATAAATGTGTCCGAAAAACCAGAAAGGAGACTGCATGAACATTTTATTGATAAACCTGTTTTTTCTGAGTCAATAGCTATGTTTCCATCCAAAGTTGCAAATTTAACTGAACTGAAATTAACACAAAACTGGAATATTGCATAAAATATTTGCGAATAAAGCACCGTTTCCATTCAGTGAGTCAAAGGCCTCGTTCATATGTGGAAATAAATCAGATGTAAATCGGATATGTGCCAATGCGACTGTCATGTAAACGGGCAGATCGGATTTTCCGAGGCATTAGGCTGCGTCTCCGCGGTTTAATGACGAGAGAAACCCCGACGCGCATCTGCGGATGGACGGATGGCCCGATGAAACATTGTGTCGTCGTAGGAGAGTAATGTGGACACATGTTGACACAACATATCAAAGGTTGGCTTGCTCATCCAAAAATTTCGGACCCACTGCTCCTCGTTAAAGCCCGCCACGATCTCATGAAAGTGCGTTTATTGCACGATTTTTTTTTCACGTGGCATTTACGCCAAAAATTGTTTTTGCGTGTATGATACGCACTTTATGGCGTTTAATACGCACGTTTACAGTGCGTATCATATGCAAGCAAAAACTATTTTTGGCGTATAAATGGCATGAGAAATAAAATTTGTGCTATATACTCACTTTTATGAGATCATGTTGTATGTTCCCACCAGTCCTGAGATCTCGCTGCGTGTTCATCCATCTGAGCAAGAAGACCCCTTTAAACATGCGCGATGTTTCAGTCAAGTGTAAACACATGACTCGGATATGGGTCACAATTTAAAGAACGTGTAAACGGACGGTAAAAAAAATCGGATATAGGCAACAAATCAGAATTGGGCATCAAGAGCTGCAATGTAAATGAGGCCAAAGAGAACAAAATCTTCACTTCACTGGTGTTAAATATCACTAAGAAAAATGGAAATTGCTGCGGTAGCAGAAGCTACTGTATATAATAAATTACTTGAGTCTCAGAGCGCACAGACGAAACGCAATAAAGTTATTTTGCTTTCGAGGGGGATGCTGCTGTTTGGGAACGCAGTCGTGTAAGACTAGCCTGACGTCGTCATACTCAGATGCTAGTCAGAATGTGAGTCTGATACTGCTCCATTGGGCTGTGATTATGGGGCGTGTTTCAACCAAATCAGGAAAAATATGCCTCTGCACTCCATTGGATAGACCGAATCTCGTATAAGGACAGCAGAAACATCTTTCCGATCGACAAATGCCTTGATCGCAGTTCTCTGTTCCTCTTTTAAATGAATGCGCTGTCTACATCTTCTATAACAGACGCGATGGCTGAATCTACACATCTCAGTTCTCCAGCGGCGGCCATTCTTTGTTGTAAACGAATTCAACCCAAGGGCTCTTTGGTGACGTGATGATTACGTTACTGTTGATCATCTGTCCATCATCATATAAAGCCCGCCCTGATGATTTGATTGGTCCGAACAGCTTTGGTTCGGGCATACTTGCTTCACAACGGATCAAGTCCAGACCGAACTTCCCATCCTCAAATGTTGTGGGCGGGGCTAAGCTCGGCTGGCATCCAGGCTAGTGTAAGGGCCCTTTCACACCTACCTTGTTTGGTCCGGACTTTCGGACTTTTCAGTTTGGTCCGGGTCAAAATTGCAGGTGTGAAACCTTCCCCGGACCAAGGTCCGGACCAAACAGATGAAACTGAACAAAGGTTTGGTTTGTTTCTAGTGTGAAGGCATTTCTGTATGGTTCGGACTTTCAGACCTTTTACAGGAAGATCCAGTGGTTCCCGCATAGTCGAAAAAACAGAAGGTGGCAGGGAAAAAGAGCCGTGGTAACGTAAGCCATGGGGAGAGGAGGAGACGAGGTTTTTAATTAAAGTATGGTCTGATGACATAAGAAGTCAACTGGATAAAATGTTCGCACGACGAGGACGTTCATTTGGCGAATTCGAACTAGCCTTGTGTATAGTTGGTACTGCAGGTAATTAATCCATAAAAATAACACATATATATATATATATATATATATATAGTTGCAACGATATGCGTCTGTTCATTCATGTTGTCAAAGTTACCCGCCGAATTGACAACACGCTGACGTCAGACGCACTTCCATTTACAAACCAATCAATGTCAAGATGCAGCCCACATAGATGATGACGACAGGACGCACGTATGTCATGTAAAGTTCTTTAGTGCGCTCGCATAATTTCAATGTGAAACCAAACCAAAACTTTCTGAAAGTATAAAATGTATCAAAACGTGAACTTTGGTTCGGACCTTGGTGCGGACTTTCAGGTGTGAAAACGCCCTAAGACAGTTCTGGGAGAGAATTATACTGAACCACTTTGATGACAGACTTAGTTCAGGCATTTCAGATGCTGTGCAACGAGATTGGTCCGCTGGTTAGTCCAGTTATGCCATCCCATCACAAAGTCACGTGACTTTTTTTATGCGCATTGAGGAATTTATGCTGTAAATGTCGCTATTCGGTAAACCATCGTATCATGTTTTCTTATTGGATCAATTTGATTGACTAAGCCTCTTCTTGTCGACTAACATTTGGTCGACTAAAATACATTGAGAACAAAGTTGTTTAACCATTTCACGCCGGCGTTCTTCCTCCCTCTCGATCTCCTTGCTGTAGTCTCTGGCTTTCTTCCTCTCTCTGAGCTCCCAGTTCTTCAGACGCTGTTGAGAGACAGTAAGTAAAGAAAATAAATAGCTTATCAAAACAGCTAATCATCCAATAATGTGATCAGACAGACTGAATACAGAGAAAGAGAGATCCCTCACCTCCTGATACGCCGCCTCTTTCTCTCGCAGCTTCCTCTCCAGTTTGCGCCGCTCATACGCCTCTTCTTCATCTTCCTCACGATCGCGCTTCTTATCCTTATCTCGGTCTCTATCGCGACTCTGTTCTCTGAAAACAGACCGCACCCAATCACGTGATACGTGTCATTTATTGTAGACCTAGAACTTTCGTTTTTAACCCACAACATCTGAATATTTTGGCATATATTTTTTTAGCTCTAGAAAAAATATTATACATTAATATTAGATAAACATAAATGAAAAAAATGTGTGTATAGTCAAACCAAAAATTATTAGATATCATTTTTGAGATTCTTTTTACTAGTGTGTGCAGGACACTATAGTTCATTTATGTAAGTGAGGAGAGCAAAATAAAGTAAACTGACATATTATATCAAAACATTCTTCATACAGCGACTACCAGTAAAATTTATAAAAATGTGGGACCAAAAATCATTCCGACACTTTGACCTGACTAGGGGTGGGCGATATCTCGATATTTAAAATATATCGAGATATTTTTTAAACACGATATGGATTTTGACATATCGATATATTGTTTATATTTAATTTGATTTCGCCACTTTGCCTTCTCTGCGCTGTGCTCGCCCCCGCCTCCTTGCTTTTGTTCCCCCTCCCCTCGCGTGTTGTCTCATTCAACATGGCGGCGCCCGCAACCAGCCCGGAGGCTACAGAACTGGTCTAAAAAAATCGTCTTGAATGCTGTCTTAGAGGTCTCTCGCTCTCTGTCCCTCTCTGCCGTGCGCGTGCATACGGTGCTCTCTCCCTCTCTGCCGTGCGCGTGCATACGGTGCTCTCTCCCTCTCTGCCGTGCGCACGCTACACGGTTTGAACATACATATTCACACAGCCTTTCGAAAACCGGGACATTCTGTGTCCCGGGAGAGTGGATAAATTTCCCGGGACAGGTTATTAAAAAGAATGACACTCCCGGTAAAACGGGACAGGTGGCAACCCTGGCCATTGCCGTCGTTGAATTATTATTTTTGTATACAGGGATTTTTTTTTTTTTAATGTCGCAGAAGCACTTTGGACTACATGAACTGCCTACCTCTTTGCACTCCAATAAAAAAAAGACTGTGGTATTTGGCATATTTGTTTTTGCAGTAGTTTTTGTTGGGTTATTTTTCCTGTAAAGATATCGATATATATATCGTATATCGAGATATAGCGAAATATAATCGAGATATATTTTTTGCTCCATATCGCCCAGCCCTAGACCTGGCCATGTTTTGCTGAAGTGTTTTTTCTAGTGCTGGGCAAGTTAAGGCGTTATCGCATTAACGCATTTATTAATTAATGCAGACAATTTTTTTATTGCGCATTAACGCAGTTTTTTTTTATTATTATTATTTTGAAAGTCCGTTGCTCACTGGCTCTGAATACACATAGGCCTACAGTCAAACCATTATCACAGGAGGGGTGGTGGGATGTTGGTCAGCCAGCAAATAACCCACCCAAACAAGCAGTGGAGAGGCTTTGGCAGGTTCTCTCAGCCTCAGGTGAACAGAAAGGGAGACAGCGCTCCGCGAGTGAATGACAGGCGCTCTATGGATAGTAACCATGGCAACGGCTTCTGTGCGCTACGCAGCTGTAGCCTTTTTAACTTAAATTAAAATTATACATAACTTTACCTGATAGGCCTGCGTTTCGTTTAGCGGGGATGCTCTGCCATGTGAATTCCCTCCTGTTGATGTCCTAATAACTATTTAGATTCTGGAAACTCACAAACAGCGAGCCGAGGATCAGTCTCTCTTCCAATGATTTGTGCTGCGCGTCGAGTACAAAAAGTTAGACAATTCAACTTCTGCAACGCGCGGGCGCGTGCGTGAGGCGAGCATGACCGCAACAGTTTCACAGGAACGCACCCGCTTGTCGCTGCACCTGTGCTCGACCACTTCACCTCACTCTATGCTGATTTATACTTCTGCGTCGGACCTACGCCGGAGCCTCTACGCTATAGACTATGCGTTGGTTTTCATTTATATATCTGTGTCGTTGTCCGCGTTGACGCGCAATTACACATGCAGAGGGAGAGTGTGAAACCCTGGGAGCGGTTCTAGCAATCGCAGCGCTTGCGGTACGCGTAGAATTGACGTTACATTTTTGGAGAGATGCACGTCAGTGTACGCGCGCTACACAGCTACGGCGTGAGTTCGACGCAGAAGTATAAATTGGGCTTTACCTTTACCTCTGTTTAATGTAATCTTACGTGGGAAACCATGGCATGCCATGACCAAACCTAAGCTGCTATCAGAGAAGTAACGTTGGTCGACTTATATCTGTAGTAGTGATCATGACCCTTTGACTAGACTGTTTCTGCTGCTCCCTGATACAATATACCTGTTCAGAAAAAAACAAACAAGAAAACTGGACTCGTTTTAACAAGCTAGATAAAAGGTAATGCCCTGGCAGTGGCAAATAGCTTTGTTTAAATATTTGATTTGATTACGTTAATGTTTAAGTTGAGATTTACAAGAAATATTTTATTGATACTGTGTAAAGGAAATACTGCTGGTATAAAAGCACATTATTTGTTTAAAGTTTTTGCAAACCACATGTTATTGCACTTTTGTAGCAGTACATTTAAATCAAAAGTGCGCAATACACTACTTTAGAATTCATTATTCAATTTTGCATGTAACAATGGGATCATGCGATTAATCGCGATTAAATTTTTTAATCGTTGCCCAAGCACTAGTTTTTTCTTTAATTGCTAATGTGACTTTTACACCACAGACTGAACAAAATGAAGCATTGCTTGGTTATCGGTTGACCTAAATATGTATTATCTAATTGTGTAGTTAAATTTAACAGCTGACAGATATTCAACATAACTCATTTGTGAGAGTCTAACAGAAGAACGGACAAAAATATCAAACTGTAATTGATATTACTACATACTACAATTTGATAACTGAGTTCTTGTCATATTTTATTACCATTTTCTAAAACTGTAGCGAATAAACTGTGATGATGTGAGAAATGTTGAAGGTGTCTGAATACATTTTGGTTTGACTGCATTACGGCTGTCCCCTAATAGTCAACTAACCGACTAACTGAAAACGAGACACAAACACGACGTTTCTTGTACCTGGATCGGCTGCGGTCTTCGCTGATGTCACGACTTCGGTCTCTCTCCCAGTCCCTCTCTCTCTCACGCTCTTTCGTGCGCTCGCGGTCTCGATCTCTTTCTCTCTCCCTCTCGCGTTCTCGCTCTCTCTCGCGCTCCCTCTCTCGGTCCTTCTCCCGCTCACGGTCTCGTCGTTCGCGTTCCCTCTCGCGCTCCTTGTCTCTCTCCTTGCGTTCGCGGTCCAGCTCTTGCCTCTCCTTCTCTCGCTTTCCCTTTTCTTCTTCCAATTTCTGTGGGAAAACGGGGAGGGAAGTTTTCAGATTAGCAACTGCTCGTGCACAACATGAGTACATAACACAATATCAATTTATGAGGAAGTGGTTTACAGTCCCTGCCATTCACATATTCGCTCATATTAAGGGACCAAAAGTCTATGACCACACGAGAAAATTATTCGAATTAGCATTTAATTTTTTAGTTTATTATATTATCAACATAAGGAGTGAAAAATTAAGAAAAATGAGTCGCATCATCAAATATTTATTTGATTAGTAACAAAAAAAAATCCAAGAGTTTGGCAGTGCTAGTGAGATAGAAATCACACACTTTTAAAATGTTCTTCATGCATGTCAGGATTGTCTTACAATTTTTCTAAAGCGTAATCTAAACGAATACAATTTTTAATGTGGAGTCTTGGACTTTTGAATCGCCCTGTATGATGACAGATAAAAATCAAGCAAATGTTCAGCAATTAATAAAAGGAAACCTGGAAACCACTTTTGAAATATAAATTTGACATTGCTGCAACTGAATCAGATGAGAAACAGTTGAGGGCTCTGTAATATCCGTCTCATCACATGATCAATAGAAAGAGGCTTCAATCCTTGTGAAACTAGTTGTTTGTGCACTTACAGGTGTTGACTAGCGACTCACAGCGCTTCCGTGGCCCTACAAGCCTTTATTGTTAGGCCTGGGAGGAAAAGCAGGTCAAAGGATTCACAAGGACAAAATAAAAAAATAAAAACTATTCTCTTTGCTTGCAACAATCTGACAAACAACTTCAAACATTGTGACAGGAGCATTGCATACTGTATTTGTTAAGATTTGTTTCTTTTTCTTTGCAGTTTCTTTGTGGTTTGGATAGAAAAGGCAACAAACGAAGGTGTAGAGACTGCTTACCCCACTGCAGACGACACGGGCCTCAGAGGATCTGACCGAGCAATTATGAAATGCACTGAAGCCCAGCATGACACCCACGACTTTAGTCTCATTTCAACAGCTCTATTATTAAAATATCCGTCCAGAGAGGCGTCTATCAACAGCTTCTACTTCCCAGAAAGCTAAAGTCTCATGGATTCATTATAAATACAAATTAAAGAGTCTAATTTTACTGCAAAATATGCTGAATTATTTTATAAGCGCTGAACCATGGGTGTTATGCGACTCTGAGCAGCAGCAGCAAATGAACATGTAGACAGGAGGTAAAGACAAGACAAGACAGGAATTTAGCCGAAAACAATTACATAAATGCATTAAAAGGACACTTCTGCATTGACTTAGATTTAAAGTGACGCTGCTCTTAAATAACGTTTCTACTGGTTAATTTGGGTTGTATTTAACAGTGAAGCAAGACAGGATAGGATTAGTAGGCTTTGTGAATCTTTAGATCAGTTTATATCAAGTCTTCATTAACTAATATTACATAACGACTTGCGCATTAAAAAAAAGTATTGCTATGTGTTCTGAGTGGTTTGTATATATCAGTGGTTATTAACAAGTCCAAGTAATTTAAATAAACCTGAAATAAAATATAGATAATAGATCAATATGCTAATGTGTTGATTTGCTGCTCAAGAAACATTTCTGATTATTATTATTATCAATGATGAAAATTGTTGTTTACTGTATTTTTGATTAAGTAAATGCAGCCTTGGTCAAGTCAAGTCAGATATACAGCGGGGGAAATAAGTATTGAACACGTCACTATTTTTCTCAGTAAATATATTTCCAAAGGTGCTACTGACATGAAATTTTCACCAGATGTTGATAACAACACAATGAATCAGTACATACAAAGAAACCAAAACAAATAAGCTCAGAAATTAAGTTATGTGTAATAATGTGAAATGACACAGGGAAAAAGTATTGAACACATGAAGAAAGGGAGGTGCAAAAAGGCATGGAAAGCCAAGACAACAGCTTAAAACTATTAGTAATTAAAAAGCAATCCAACCCCCTGTCCGTGCACATTAATAACAGCTGGTTCAGTCCCAACGGATGGCCTACAAAAAGGTCTCATTGCCAAGGTGTCACACAAGACACATCTCATGATGGGTAAAAGCAAAGAGCTGTCTCAAGACCTTCGCAACCTAATTGTTCCAACACATAATGATGGCATTGGTTATAGGCACCATTCTAAGCTTCTGAATGTTCCAGTGAGCGCTGTTGGGGCCATAATACGGAAGTGGAAAGACAATCATTTCACCATAAATTTGCCTCAACCACTGCTCCTCGCAAGATTTCTGATAGAGGAGTTAAAAGAATAATCAGAAGAGTTGTCCAAGAGCTAAGGATCACTTGTGGAGAGCTTCAAAAAGACCTGCAGATAGCAGGTACTGTGTTCTCAAAGAAAACAGTAAGTAATGCACTCCACCACCATGGCCCGTATGCACGCTCACCACGCAAGACTCCATTACTGAAGAAAAAAAGCATGTTGAAGCTCGTTTAAAGTTTGCTGCACAACATTTGGAAAAGCCAGGGAAATACTGGGAGAATTTAGTGTGGTCACATGAGAGCAAAATTGAATTGTTTGGATGCCATAATACACACCATGTTTGGAGGAGAAATGGCACTGCACATTACCCTAAAAACGCCATACACCTTGGTGTTAGCTCTTGGACAACTCTTCTGATTATTCTTTTCACTCCTCTATCTGAAATCTTGCGAGGAGCAGTGGTTGAGGCAAATTTATGGTGAAATGATTGTCTTTCCACTTCCGTATTATGGCCCCAACAGCGCTCACTGGAACATTCAGAAGCTTAGAATGGTGCCTATAACCAATGCCATCATTATGTTTTGGAACAATTAGGTTGCGAAGGTCTTGAGACAGCTCTTTGCTTTTACCCATCATGAGATGTGTCTTGTGTGACACCTTGGCAATGAGACCTTTTTGTAGGCCATCCGTTGGGACTGAACCAGCTGTTATTAATGTGCACGGACAGGGGGTTGGATTGCTTTTTAATTACTAATAGTTTTAAGCTGTTGTCTTGGCTTTCCATGCCTTTTTGCACCTCCCTTTCTTCATGTGTTCAATACTTTTTCCCTGTGTCATTTCATATTATTACACATAACTTAATTTCTGAGCTTATTTGTTTTGGTTTCTTTGTATGTACTGATTCATTGGGTTGTTATCAACATCTGGTGAAAATTTCATGTCAGTAGCACCTTTGGAAATATATTTACTGAGAAAAATGGTGACGTGTTCAATACTTATTTCCCCCGCTGTATATCCAGATATTGCTCGTGTCCCTCCTTCAATACAAGTCTATGGGACTTTTTGCAAAATTGTAATTCTGATCAATTAAAAACTCAAACTGCATGATTTGAGGAATCATTCATGTGTTAAGCACAACTGGCGCAAGACGAATGATGTGTCAAAATGTAATACTTAGTGTTACTTAAAGGATAATTCCAGTATTTATCACTTTGAGTCTATTTTCTAGTTTGTTTTGGATGAACTAGAGTGGTGGACACAGAAATTTTGATGATGGGTCCCGTCTCGACTTTTTGACTCTTTTAGCGTTTCCTTAACATTCGTTTTCAAAACTGTGCAACTCACCGAGTGGTTAGTGGTGTTCGTTGATGATCAAAAACAAATATATCGGCGCAATGTATGATTTCAATCCGTGTTATTTGCTATAGTGGAACTATTTTTTCAGATACCTCACAACCACGTATAAACTTCCGCTCGATATTTGAGTCTGAAGCGTTTTACAAAATGCCAAATAAAACACTGTATTTCGCTACGCTACTTGTTTTGGAACATCAACGAACACCACTAACCACTCGGTGAGTTACACAGTTTTGAAAACGAACGTTAAGGGTTGTTTTAAGGAAACGTTTGTGCATGCCGGTAGACAGCCACTCTGAAGCGCTCAGAGGCGATTCTAAAATAGTCAAAATTTCTGTGTCCACCACTCTAGTTCATCCAAAACAAACTAGAAAATAGACTCAAAGTGCGGAATTATCCTTTAATTATCCTATTGTACTTGAAAAAAGGGGTTTTATAGTAATTCTGTGTGACTTTAGCTGTACAAAATGTTAAGACGAAAGAACACAAAAAAGTAAACATTCAGTGAACAGACACACTTAACAGGAAAAGAAAAGAGAGCAAGCAAGCAGGAATGTAGAGAGATGTTGGCAGACTCAATCACAAAGCGAATTCATACCTGCAAAATCTTCAGAAAGTCCGTGTGCTGTGGAGGGGCGCCCCCTACTTTTACAAGAGCCGAATGGGCCAAATCACTGTTATTCAAGTCAGCAGTATTTATTATAGCACCAACATCACTTTTACTAGCAGACCCACACAGGTTCACTGGCCGCCCATATCTTGGAGAACCAGAAAATATGCAGTTTCCCAGCTTATCGCTTTTATAAACACAGTAGAGTTGATCACACACACACTTTTGACACCCCTTGATATTAAAAACCCAGAACGAGAATATCAGATCGAGTCGGTGCAGTTGCCCCTGTGCAAGCCCTCCTGAAGGGGGCGCCCAGTACAAGTAGAGAAAAATGGAAAGCTCATACTTACATCCTATCCTTGCTACTTTTTCCAAAGCTGTGAGATTCATCTTGGTTTAGTCACCATATGATCTCTATCATAATGGTGGGGTTTAATGAATAGATTAGCTTTTAGGGAAGTGCACAGAACGTCCATGCATTGTATGTGTGACTACATTTCCCACCCTTAACATGGAGGCCACGCTACAGTTTACACAAGCCAGTGATAAAAATGCTCTGGACTCAAATGATGCCTAACTTCTGCACTATATCAAGTTAAATCTTAAATATAATAAAAGTTTTGCTGTTTACAGGCTAAATATCTATTCATGCTGGTATGTTGTCAAACTAAACTAGGTGTAAGAGGCTGTTGTGCTCTACCTGTGATATGGAGTAAATTAGCATGTATTTTACCTTATGGGTATCGCGGAATTTGTTGATCTCCCTGGAAATCAAATCTCTTTTGTCATCTTCCATTTCCATGGCATTGATGTCATCCTAAACAGCCAAAGACAGAAAATGGAGAACATGGTTAACCTGTGACCCTATATCTACTTATATAATACTGACATTGTGGAAAGCAAATGTGTGGTGATCACTGCAAAGAGATTTCTTTAAGTGTCTCTGACATTTATTTGATCAAAAGGGAAATATTACAATTTGAACTAACGATTTTCTATTTTAATATCCTTTAAAATGTAAAAGCTGAATTTTCTGCACCATTACTCCAGTCTTCAGTGTCACATGATCCTTCAGAAATCACTCTAATATGCTGATTTGCTGCTAAATTATTATTGGTGCTAAGTTATTAATATAGGTCATTATCATTAAAGTTGAAAACAGATTTTGTTGCTTAACATTTTTGTGGAAACCATTTTTCAGGATTCTTTGATTAATAGAAAGTTTAACTTAAAGTTTAAATTTGAAATACATTTTTTGTAACACTAAATGTCTTCTTTACAATCCTTGCTGAATAAAAGTATTCATTTCTTTCTCTTTTTTTTATCTTTGTTACCCCAAAATCTGTTTTCAACAATTGTTTCTTGAGCAGCAACTCCTCATATTATAGTGATTTCTGAAGGATCATGTGTCACTGAAGACTGGAGTAATGATGCTGAAAATTCAGCTTTGATCACAGGAATAAATTAAAAAATATATTCATTTATATAATACATTTAAATAATACATATATATACAAATGTCTTATAAAAAACCATTACAGAGAAGGACCCGCCAAGATGAACTAAAGCCAACCTCGCCCTTCTTGTCTCTCTTCTTTTTGCGGCGACTCGACTCGTCGTCCTGTGATGGAGCATTGAGCTCGTTTGAATACTCCCGGATCAGGCCGTCAATGGCACCTTTGACAATTTGGTCCCGCTTCTTAGTTTCTTCATCCAGAACCTCCTCTTCCTCGTCGCCAGCATCCTCTGCCTTGCCATTCTGCCAGATAGACAGAAGATCATAACTCAGAATCTTTTTGTAGCAGAACGCATCTGACATTAGCTATGTTTCCATCCAAGCTTGCGAATTTAACTCATGCGCAAAATGGGAATATCGCATAAAACGTTTGTGAATAAAACAGCGTTTCCAGTCGAAGAGAACAAAATCACCACTTCCTGATAAACAAGTGCTAAACATCCCCAAGAAAAGTAGGAGAAGCTACTGTATATAATAATTTTGGAATATAATAAATTACTTGCATCTCAGATTGCGCAGACGAAACGCAATTAACGTATTTCGGAGGCGGATACTGATGTTTGGGAACCCAGTCGTGTAAGACAGTTCTGGGAGGGAATACTGAACCACTTTGATGACAGACTTTGCTCAGGCATTTCAGAACCACCAAAACAGCATTTCAGATGCTGTGCAACGAGATCGGTTAGTCCAGTTATGCTGTCCCATCGCAAAGTAATGTTATGTTGATACACATCGGAGAACAAACTTGATCCAACTTAAACGAGCGCATACGTTTTTTATTTTTTTACGTTTTTTGTTTTTTTATTTAACCACATCTTGTGATTTCCATCCAACGTTTTTTTATGCAATATCCAGAATTGCGCATAAAAATAGGTAACAAGATTTTGGAAACAAAATATGAAGTAAAAAAATCCCTGCATTTTCACAATTGTGGATACCAGTTACAAAATCTAATATGCATTTGAAGACACAAATACTCTTCTCATACAAATAAGTAAACACTGTTTAAGTAATTTACTTTAGTATCGCCTGGAGGGCTTGACATTAACTTTTTTTGCTCACCAGCCACTGTGGCTAGTGGTTTTCCAAAGTTACTAGCCACTCCGCATGTTCACTGGCCACAATTTGGACACCGATACCATAGGGGAATAACTACCATATAGATATTTTTAATAGCATCTTATAATTTGGCAGCCGGTATATTAGGCTACTGTCACTTTAAGACCTGACGCACGGACCCATTATACTGTTTTATATAGCCAACATACTTTATGTGCACGCACTTTGGGTGTGAGCACAAAATCTGCGGGAATGAGTAAAATTGTGCTCAATACGTGCAATCCCTCGCCAGATTCAAGCCCTGTAACACCAACAATATTCATCTGGAGCAAATAAAACGAGTGAGTAAAGGGTTGGTGTGTCACTCGCTGTCGGAGAGATTAGAGAGCGAGAACACGCAGCTGGTATCTTTTGTATCTATTCTGCGAAGAGTTTCAGATATTTCCGTATCAATATGTATCGAAAACTCAATATTACTGCCAACACTAGATTGCACTTAGTTTATTATTTCAGATGCCTTTTTAAAAGACTACAATTGAAAAATGTATATTATATAAAATTCAACCCGCCAAAGTGGCTAGTGACTGCGTTACACGCCAACGCTGAATTACACCCGCATTTGGCGGGTTGGTGGGTGTTAATGTCAAGCCCTGATCGCCTGGATATCAAACTGGTCTCATACTAACTCCATTTTCACTGGTGCTCTTCTTCTTTGCTTTCCACTCGTCCAGTTGTGCTTTGGTTTTGGCATCGACTTTGACCAGAAGTTTCTTTTCTCCAACCTGCAACTCGTGTAGCAGCCGTAGAGCTCGTAGAGTAGATTCAGGCTCTTTGTATTCACAGAAACCAAACGCTGAACGCAAATGAACAAAAAATATCTGTGAGCAGCCAGCCTGACACACTCACAACATTCACAGTCAGGCAGTGCAACAGACTGAGGGTTAGTTCCCCCCAAAATGAAAACTCTGTCAGTAATTACTCGCCCTCATGTTGTTCCAACCCCGTAAGACTTTCGTTCATCTTCAGAACACAAATTAAGATTTTTTTTATTAAATCTGAGAGCTGGATCACTCCTCCATAGGCTTCTATTGTAATTGAAACTGGCCGGCCCAGAAAGTTATTAAAGACATCGTTAAAATAGTCCGAGTGACTACAGTGGCTCAACCTTAAGTTTATCAAGCGACGAGAATACTTTTTGTGCGCAAAAAACAAACAAAAATAACGACTTTATTCAACTATTAAAGTAACAACAGGTAACTTTTCAACCTTCATAATATATTTCCAAGTCTCTTGTGATGGTAGATCGACTTACAATAGGTTGAATGACACGTCTGCCATAGCCTGACGGGGTCTGTAGCGTTTTTAATCGTACTTTTAAACTTCGGGTTTCGGGTAGTAACCGGCGAACAAAGAGAACTACAAAATTCGACTGCTTTACGGCATATACGTCACTTCCACCCCCACCCCCTTAAAATCGGACTTGCGAGCCAAATGTTATAGTCATGGCCGAAGCAGCACAGAAAAACAAGAAAGCAAAGGTTTTATAGGAGCAAAGCAAAAAGAGAAAAAGAGAAAGTGATCGCGTTAAAGGCAGAACGAGGATCAACATTGCAGAGCTGCCAACTCTCACGCATTGGCCGTGGTTACTTTAATTTCCTTCTCTGTTGGCCTCGAGTGAGTTCACGTAGTGTAACAGCGCAGCGCTTCTGTGTTGTACGTCACACGCATCACACACATGACCAGCGTCGGCCAATAGTGAGCCTGCGTGTGACGTACAACCCAGAAGCGCTGCGCTGTTACACTACGTGAACTCACTCGAGGCCAACAGAGAAGGAAATGAATAGTTGAATAAAGTCGTTATTTTTGTTTGATTTTTGCGCACAGAAAGTATTCTTGTCGCTTGATAAACTTAAGGTTGAGCCACTGTATCACTTGGACTATTTTAACGATGTCTTTAACTTTTCTGGGCCGGCAAGTTTCGATCCCTTAGAAGCCTATGGAGGAGTGATCCAGCTCTCAGATTTAATCATAAATATCTTAATTTGTGTCCAGAAGATGAACAAAGTCTTACGGGGTTGGAACAACATGAGGGAGAGTCATTACTGACAGAGTTTTCATTTTGAGGTGAAATAACCCTTTAAATGAATTGAGATATTGTGTTAAAAACATATTTACCTTGGAGTTTCCCTGAGGCACCTTGAACTCGTTTCCAGCTCAAGACCAAACCACATTTCTGAAACACAATTGGTTATCGTCAACAATCAACATCAAACTTTTAAACCAAGATTTATTTCACTTTAGATTAAAACTCAAATGGAACTAAGTCCTCTACATTGCTGAATGCATTAGACTGTATTGGATATGTGGTCATACTTACGGCCAGCAGCTGTCTGATGAGCATGTCAGAGGCTTTCTCAGAGATGTTCCCTACAAACACGGTGGTTGTGGGACCGTTGTTGTCATCGTCGTCTTTTGCCCGAGCAGCCATACTTTCCTTCCTGGGAGCAGCAACTTTACTAACCACAGACATCGCCGTGGGCAAAAGAACCTGATACATCACATCACAATTAATACTGTAGAGCCATGTGACAAAAAAAAAGTGCTTGTGACTTGTCTCTGAAATACTGATTCAAAAGTTCATTACTCAAGAAATGCATGGAAGCATTTCAATGGCATATTTTGTGTATTAAAATGTTTCTGTACAAACATATCGTCGCTGTGCGTCGGAAACCTTGTATGTCCAAAACCGCTTTGATTTTTTTGGAATCAAAACCTGGACTTTTCAAATAATTAAACACCGTGTAATATGTGGTCTGACACTTGCATGTGTCATTAATTAATAACATAAAAACCAAAATCAAGCTTAAATAGAGTAACGAGGTTTTTGACCAGCAAATTTCTGAGAATTTCGGACATACTAGTTTTGTCTGTCATTAGAACAGCCACATCTGAGGCAGCAAGTGCACTACATTTTCATCAACTTACGGGTTATAAAGTTAATTGTAGACATGTGGGAGCTCTGTCACATGGCCAAAATCTCATGTTATAAAAGATCAAGTGCTTTGAACAGGCTATTTAAGACAGTATTGGCTATGACTCCACTACAAATGCTAGACTAAGACACTCTTCAAATACATAGCACATTAGCCTAAATATATATATATATTGTGTTTCTTGAGTAAAGAAAACACTGTACATATTCAAACAACCAGCTCTTTATTTACCGTTGAATTGCAAACAAGCAGAGACGGTCCAAACTGCGTCCGCCACTTCATTCAAGATTCAAGAAGCGGGTGGAGTTTGAGTGACAGTTTGAGGATCCAATGGAGATACAAGGTTTAGTCACAAGCTCTTTTTAACACTTTTCATGTGTTAAATATTTGCAAAACCCACAGACAGACACAAAGGATGACCAATAGTAATGATTTATATATTTAATCAAAAAAATTAAACTAAATATGGACACGAAGTTTCTGCCCGACAGCGACGATACGCAAGTAAATATTGCAGTTTATTACTGTGCATATAAATAATTTATTAAATATCAACCTTCCTTGTGTTATTATATTGAAAATCCTGCCTCGTTTTAACTAGATTGTTACTGTCTTAGTTCTTCAGTATCAAATATTTTTAATTTAATTAGCCGCGTTAAAAAAACATCCTTTTAAGCGCATTTCTGAGCAAAATAAATCAATAAATATACTTCAGAAAAAAGGGGAAATTGCTTACATACATTTAGACTGGAAATGACTAAAATTCTAATACAAATATTAATAAATTTTTTCCCTATAATAAACGAATATTACCGTAGGGGCTTGAGTCATAATCCCCATGTGGACAGGAATCATTGGGGTTCCTAGGGGGAGAAAAAACAACAACAACATCAGAAAATATTCACCCTAACTTGATATTGTCATGTAAGTCACCTATTATAACAATGCAAATCAGATGGATTAAACTTGGTGTGGACTCTGCTATCTTTTATATTCAGAACTGTATCATTATCGTTATAGTTATCGTCCTTGGTGTGACTTTGAATACACAAAGCAAGCAACACAATGCTGTAATAATCAACAAAGTTGTCACTAAATGCTCTGGACTCCCATATATGCTTCCATTATCATTAATTTAAAATCTTAGCATTTGTTATGCTTTTATCCAAAGCACTTCAAGGCATACATTTCGCCAGCATGTGTTCCCTGTGAATTGAACCCATGACTTCGCCATTGCTAACACAATGTGTCTACAGAAGGTCTGATTTATCTGGTTTATCTTAATTACCGGGAGGCATCGATGGTGGAAATCCAGCAAACTGTGGTGGAGGGATTCCTGGTGGCATTGCTGGGATGCCTATTTGTGGCCGGTTGAGATGAGGAGGGAAAGACATCTTGGGCAAAACACCCACCTTAAACAGAAGAGAAACACACTTCATTAGCAACTGTAAATAACAGCGGCTTGTCAATGATATGCCAAAAATGTTTAGGCTGCTACAATACTGTTCCACTTGAACATTAAAGATCTTTAGTTCTGCAATTCTCCTCATATTAGTATGCGACTATTTTACTTTTACTTAACACAGATGCATTGAATGAACATAAAGGGATAGTTTTCCCAAAAATGAAAATTATGATAATTTACTCACCCTCAAGCCATCTTATTAACCCACTGGAGTCGTATGGATTACTTTTATGATTGATGGATGCACTTTTTTGGGCTTCAAAATCTCAGGTACCATTCACTGCCATTATAAAGCTTGGAAGAGCCAGAATATATTTTTTACTCTGATTTTTGTTCGTTTGAAAGAAGAAATTCATATACATCTCGGATGGCTTGAGGGTGAGTAAATTAAGGCATAATTTAAATGTTTGTGTTAACTATTCCTTTAAGTATAAAGCTGTTAAAGTGTACATTTAACAGAGTTATACAGCAGATAGTCAAACACCAAATCAGACAAGCTGATTACAGGATCACTGACAGCTCTAAATCAGCCAGAAATCGACCTGAAATCAGTTGAGATGTCTGAAATAATCTAAATGAGCTGAAATCACCCTATTATAAACAGAAAGACCTCTAAACAAACGACAATAAACGTGCGAACAACTTGAAAGTGCTGCAATCAACTTGAAATCACATATACAGGCTGAAAATCAACACAAAATGAGTTTGAATCGCTGTAATAGAGCTGAGATTAACGGAAAGAGCTGAAATCAGCGGAGTGGTCTTAAATCAATTCAAAGGCCGATTTCACATTGCTATAACGTCTTCCAAATGTGATAATCATTGACGTTAGCTAAGCAAATAAACAGGTGTATGATAGCTAACGCTCTAAAGCGCGTAAATTATATTGCTTTAGTGGTATCTAATAATTTCAAGCTAATAAATCAGACCGGTTTGTCAGAAAATATCAGCGGGAATCAGTTCAGTCGGACCGGGTTACAGCTAGCCGCGAGCTAACGTTCACAAAAAAGGCTTTATTTTGACCTCTCTCAACGAATTATTTCGTTTTATCAAACTCCTGTGCGAGAAAACGAAAATATTAACTCACAAAGATAACTAATAGTTGAATAAATATTACTCACTCAAACCAAATCGATATCCACTCGCTTCACGCACGGAAAGTTCACCGGATCCGTGGTAAAAGCAACGAGCTATCGAAACTGCAGTTTCCGGTGAAATGGAATTCTGGGAAAATAACAGGCAAGTTAAAACACCTCTGATTAAAAAAAAAAACTAAATTAAATAAACAAATTAAAAGCAAATGGAAATTCAGCACAACAACTCATCTTGATCTTGTTCATTGATTTTCAGCATATTTCATCTTTTACACAGAATTAGATTCAGGATGTACTTCATAAAAATAATAATAATGATTTATATATTGAGACATTTTTCTTCCATTTGAACGTGTTTAAGCATTAACATAACTAATTAAAAGAAAAACAACAATATAGCATGACAATAGTTACCATTCTTTAATTTAAATTAGTTGGCTAAATTGTTCATATTTAATATTCACCATTGCAATAATATATATATATATATATATATATATATATATATATATATATATATATATATATATATATATATATATATATATATATAATTATTATTGTTGTTGTTATTATTATCATTATTATTATTATTAGTTAAATGTAAACATTTCGGTTTATTCCCTGCTGTTATTAGCAAGTTAGCCCACATTATGTCCCTATAAATTGCTGTTCTGTTCTGTTGTTTTTGTTGTTGTTTTTTTGCACATTATTACTAACTAACCATATTCTCTATTGATTTAACAAACCATGACTTTGAAATGTCCAACTTAGCAGAATTATTAATTAACTTCTATGGTTTCATATTTGTATTAAATTAACTGCACATTAATCATAAACAGCACAAATAAAATGTACCAATTTAATCTCACAACACGGTCAGTATATTTCAAGGTCAAATTTACCTCAAAATCAAGAAAATGAAACGTATTTTTAGGGACACTGAGATTTAATTTCTTGTTGTTTATTTTCTTTTGATGTAAGGGTGAACTATATAACGAGGACATTTCTTGTTCAGATTCGCCCATAAACTGCATTTGATTGACAGGTGACGTCAACGGAGGCGGGATTTTCATGGAAAGTGCTGGAAAGAGACAAAGTACCGCTAGTCATAACGCCTGTTGTTCTTCCGATGCGAAACGTAGTGCAGTCGATTATGCTTTATTATGTGCATTTATTTTACTACATTTTCTGACAATTTGACTATTTCGTGTTAATTATGACACACACAATTTTGAGAACGTGAGTATTGTATAAAGACCTTCCTATCAGTGAAGTAAACATTTTGCGCGCATCTCCCCAAACTGATTTTATAACCGTTCAGTGGTCATTGTCTAACTATCTTAAATGTATTCATTTCTGTCTCCAATTTTGTAGACTATTACAAAGAGTCATACACGCATGTTTAGATTTTATTCATAATAATGCGCAAGGAAATGTAATATAATTTAATATAAACATGCTATGTTTGTTTAATAAAAATAGACTCGTTCCAAGGCCTTGAGACTTTCACTATGAATCTCTTATAACTATCTCCTTACAAAAACGTTTTCAAATTGCAAAATTGTTTTCTTTAAATTGGTTTTCTAATCATTTCCTATTTAAAATATTCCTATATTATTCCAATAATTTAGAAATGATTTATATCTGATATAGCTAGTAAAGACACTGTATTTTTGGAAGGGAATAATTGCGATTTACACAGATAAAAGAGTCTTGTCTGTCTTTGTTAAAAGAGTGCAAGTGGTTCGCGCAGGCGCAGTGAGACCACGCGGAGGGATACAGCCGCACAGTCATAGGCGGAGTATAAAGAAAAGAGCCGCGCACGCTAGGTTCTCTCCTCTGCTTCCCTGAGTCTCAGTATAGGGGAGATCAGCTGTTCCTGTGGCGATTAAACCATCAAAAATCAACGAAACTAACCAAGGTAAACCCTCGATCTTAATCTGAAATGATTCCATATGATTTCAGGCATTAATTGAAACTAACAGAATGATGTTTAATCGCGTTACTCAGCACTTATTCCATTCGCTATTTGGCCGGTATTGTAATGATGCGGATGACGGTTAAAAGCCTTTTTTCTCCGTCATTCAGACACCGCCATTCGTCATTATACTTCTTTCTTTGTCGTTTAAAAAAAAACTTATGTTAATATCGAATATAATGTTAATTTGTTTTTTTTTTAAGGCTGTTTAATGAGTTGACGAGCAGGTGCAGTGGTTTAGTTACAGTGCTATAAAACCGATGCTCGTGTTGTTACTGGTCATCTATTATAGCTTCTTGCGTATTTCTTTGGTCGTAATTCATATATATATTTATCCGCCGTCACGCTGCGAACACCGATGACCCGACTGGCTGGTTGGTTGATTTAAAGTCATCGTAACCTTTTCACAAAAGCTATTCTATGTGACCTTAAAGCTTTTAAAGTAGTATTACGGAAAACTGTGTTTATTCCGTTCATTTATAGTAAGCGAGATCCATCTAAATCGGTTAAATTTCAAGGATTGCAGCAGTAAAACACGTGTTGCGCGCATTGTCCTTCTGCGCCATGTTCTTCCGCATCCGGGCCTTTCATGGGCCTGTTTTTCTTGTGTAACTGTACTACAACTGATGGAGTGAGTCACGCTTTCATTTTCTTTTTAACAGACCTACTTGTCCAACTTAGACCTGAACAGAAATCACTAATAATATGCACTTATTTTGAAGTGTATTTTATAAATTAGTTAAACCTTTTTGATGGAGATAATAAAGATGTACCGACTCTGTTATTTCTCAGATGCCTGAAGAAATGCGCCAAGATGAGGAGGCCGAGACCTTTGCCTTCCAGGCAGAGATCGCCCAGCTGATGTCTCTCATTATCAACACCTTCTACTCAAACAAAGAGATCTTTCTCAGGGAGCTCATCTCCAACGCCTCTGACGTAAGACCCATTATACTGTTTTACTTGCATCTAACATTTGGCTGACTTAAAGGGTTAAAGACTTAAAGGGTCACCCAAAAATGTAAATTATCCCATAATTTACTTATCAAGCCATCTTAGGTATATGACTTTCTTCTTTCAGCCAAACACAGTCAGATATATACATATATATGAATGATCAGAGGTCAATCAAGTGATTCCAACGATATCATTTCTATGTTTCGTTATTGAAATTAAAATGTGTTCTTTTGCATTTAGATTTAGCTTTAAGGCTATGTGGTTCCTGCTATCAATCTATTTGGTTTTCTCCACTCAACAGGCTCTTGACAAAATCAGATATGAAAGTTTGACAGATCCCACCAAACTGGACAGTGGCAAGGACCTCAAGATCGACATCATCCCCAATGTTCACGATCGCACCCTTACCATTATTGACACCGGTATTGGAATGACCAAAGCCGATCTCATCAATAACCTGGGTACTATCGCAAAGTCCGGGACAAAGGCCTTTATGGAGGCTCTGCAGGTGATGTTTCTGCCAATGTAAGCTTGTTTATCAATACGTCTACCTTAAATTTAGTCTAATGTTTTTTTTCCCTATCTTTCCAGGCTGGTGCCGATATCTCCATGATTGGGCAGTTTGGTGTAGGCTTCTACTCTGCCTACCTGGTGGCTGAAAAGGTCACAGTCATCACTAAAAACAACGATGATGAGCAGTACGCCTGGGAGTCGTCTGCTGGCGGCTCTTTCACAGTCAAGGTGGACAATGGTACGTTACCAGCTTGTCTTTGAAGACAGTCAAACCAAATTTATTTAGACTCCTTCAACTAGGGATGCTCCGATCAAAATTTTTTGCTTCTGATATCTGGCATTCAGTATCGGCCGATCTGATACTAAAATAAAAACAGTGCCCAATAAACAGTATGCCTCACTGTGTGGAAGAGACTGGGATCATTCTTTTGTGAAACGCATCAGACAGGCTTGACTTAAACATTACTTAACTTTATGGGGGGTGCTGGATGGCAGAGGCAGGCTAAATGCACATTAATTGTGCAGATATTAACAAATGCATATTCAATAAAAATAAACATGGATAAGACTTATTCATGTTTCTTTTATTTATTTTTATCGATTGCAAAAAATTATCTAGATCAATCACACTTTTTTTGTGATTAATCCCCATTAAAAACCATACGTTTTTAATATTTTATAATGTAGTTTCACAGTTAATTCAAATTAATGTAGAAACAAAGACAGTATATTTTAAATGTCTAACAGGTAGGAAATATACAGAAATTGAATAGTTATCAAACAGTTTGCACTGCATACATTTTTAAATTGTGTGTATATATATACATATAAAATATAGACTACACCTTATGAAAGTTACAAAAGTTTTTTAGTCAAGAGCAGTTTTCTCTGTTCCCTTTGTTCTTTAATTAACTTTACTGACAGTCAGCATTATTGGCTGCTGTCCCTTTAAGACCACCTGCTGCTGACAGAAGCGCGGATCTCACACGCGCCTCATTCTCTGAACTCTTTACGTTCATTTAAGACTTTAACTCATTTAAGACTGCTCCAACTGCTCTTATGAGGATACTCAACAAAACGGACATGCCCCGTGCACGTTAGCTTGTTTGAATTGGAAACTGTTCACCTGTGTGCTGCGCATGTTGCTAGCGGACAGCATATAATTACCACGAGAGCCGACTGCTTTGTTAGCCTTCGAATCGCTCTCGCGGTAATTTGATGCCCCTATGGATCGGCCCATTGTCACCGATACCCGATCTACAATTGTATTCCATATCGGAGCTGATGCCCAATATCAGATCAGAGCTTCCTTACCTTCAACATTTCTCACACTATCAGTTTATTTGCTATAGTTTAGAAAATGGTAATAAAATGATGAACTCAGAGTTATCAAATCAGTTGATATTTCACTGGTTTTGGCCATCCTTCTGTTAGACTCTCACAATTAGTTTGAATAGCTGTCAGCTGTTAAATTTAACTACACTTATACTACACAGATAATACCAATTTAGGTCAACTGATTATCAAGCAATGCTTCATTTTGTTCAGTCTGTGGTGTAAAGGTCACAAGCAATTAAAGAGAACTTCAGCAAAACATGGTCAGGTCAAAGTATCGGAATTTTTTATTCCAAATTTTTATAAGTTTTACTGGTAGTCACTGTATGAATAATTTTTGGGTATA